GTTCTTGTCATGATTGTCATGAAGCTTCAAAGCTATATCAACCATTTGACCTCGTTGTGATATACATGCAATGTAGTGAGTTACCTCTCCTTTGAATGATAATCCGAAGCAGCGGATTGGCCGAGGACAGTGCTTTGTGGAAGTTGTCATCATTGTTGATTGGAAGTAGATCTCCATGGATGTCGGCATATCCCAGCAGCACGTCCACTCCGGGGATCCGGTGAATGGTCTGCAGCAGTTGGTAGAATTCCTGGAAGCCACCGGCCCCTTTCCTCTTCAGGGCAAACCTGCGGTACTCCGCCTCAAACTGCAGGACAACCACAATCATGTTAAATTATATCAATAAACACTACAGGCTCTTAATGCACAGCACTTAGCTTTGCAGATCAATTATGACATCGACAGATTATGACCCTGTAAAATATGCAAATGTAATCCATGTCTTTTTTTTTCCAACTGAAACTTGGACAGTGACTTTACACAGATGCGTCTTAGACACATTCAGTGCCAGTTCCTCATACCAATTTCACTTGCTCCTGCAGCTGCAGAGCTGTTTGATGTGCACTTGCAGCTCGGAGGAAGCCATTAAGGTAAAAAAAAAAGAGCAGTGAGGAACAAAGGGAGGCTCAATCTAATCAAGTGCTACAGATAAAGGGAAAGATGAGAACAGTGGCATTAAAAAGCTGAGCTTCTCCAGACCACACACACACACACACACACACACACACACACACACACTGAGCGGATGGGGAATTCATCTCAAGAGCTCAGCTGAACATATTGGACAAAATCTGTCAGATCGCTCAATTTATGAGGAGGAATTGCATCCGAGCCAAAGATTTTCTCCAGTATCCATGGAGCATACCTTACATATGGAAATGGAGAATACTAGTGAAAATATACAAGGTCATATTGTAAATCATTTGAATATGGAGTCATTCAGCAGGCCACAGCTAGTGTTTTTATTAGAGTCCATTCACAAAAATAATATCAAAGGCTTTTTTCTGTGGTAGATATAACAAGAATGAATTTGGCCATACAGGAATGCACAGAAATCTTTTAGATATGATAATCAGGGACTGTAACTTTGATTTTGATTAAATTGTGACACATTTGATTAAAAATGTGTTTTCATTCTGTAATCCTGTTTGTTTCTCTCCTATACTTTCATCTTGTTAAAATTAAGGAAAAGTTAAATTACATGTCCTCTCCTAGTATACATCCTTGGTCTTACTGTGAACAATTAATCGTGCAAGTTATTCTTATAACATAGTTAATAAGTTAATCTTTTATCTCTTATTAAATAACAACTTGCTTCACCTCTAAATCATCTTTCCTTTTCAGCTGTCATGTGACCGCTTTCACAGTCCAATTAATTCTTGATGGATAAAATCAGGTCTTCTTACATTTTTTTTTTTTCCTCTGTTGAATATCCTGTTTCACTCAGGAATGTTACAGAAGTAAAATGTTAATCTGTCAATAAAAGGACTGTCATTTTAGAGATGAACATAACATTTTTAGTCAATACATTTTTTTTCACACACATTGCACAACATATTTGAATATATGCATTATCATCCCGCTTGAAAATATTTACATCACCTCCCCCTTCAAAACAAGCATCAACACCTTTGAAATTATTAGTCTTATTTTGTGCAAAAAAAGTGCTGTTATGTGGGACCACCACAGTAACCATAGCAATACAGATAAAAAGGCCATACCTGTCATGCCAATGAAAACATGGCCTGTCAGAGAAAAGACATCTGTATTGAATTGTTCAACACAAACCTCAAACTACATGCTCACTGAAAACGCCATTCATTTGCGACAGGATCCCATCAAGAGCTAGAAAAGTAGAAAAGAAAACATTTCCTTCCAATTTCCTCTCAGGAAGAAAAGAGTGTCACCAAACACATTGCACTGCCTGTTATGAAAACCAAAACCTCAAGCAGGAGGATTCAGGTGATCGAATTAGCCAGTTCAGGCAAAAATTATAATATATGACACTATATTACATCCAGGCCTGCATGGAACTTCACTTGAATCTTTCTAAACAGCCCTTTTCTGTTTACTGTTCTCCTCTCACATATGCACTGCACACCCAACATTTCTCAAGAATGGAGGGATAATAAAACATATCCTGCTCTGTTTGGCAGATTGTGGTCGAGGTTTTCCAATAAGTATACTGGGCACATTGACAACAAACTACTCCAATACATCAGAGACCAACAATCTGTGTCTTTAGTAACAATAGAGGCCATGAGAAACGTAATAAAATATATGAACTATTTTAAACAGACATCAGTAGTTATAGCTGTTTGCCTGTTAATATTCATTTATGCATCATCAGATGTAATATACTAAAGACTATTTCCTCCCATAAATGAGACCTTTTTTACACATCTGTATGGCCTGAGATGAACAGATTTATCACAATGACATTTTAATTTAGACAATTGTCGAGTACTATTATACAACAGTGGATCTAAGGAGGCCAGAGGCAACTAGGGGGCCTCAGCAAACCTGGAAAATAATTTAAACTAATATAATTATTTTATATATTCCATAAATAATGCCAAGCTTTAAACTATTTTATTGGGTAGAAGTTGTTCTAAAATATTTTTAAAATCCTTATACTTTTGATTATACTTGATCCAGTCCAGCTTTTAGTGTTGCGTTGCATAGTGACACTGAAAGCTTGATGCTTTGGCTTCTTTTGGAACTATTTTCACCCGCAGATATGAAATACACTAACTGGTCAATATTTGATATTTAGATATTTAAATATTTATAGAGCAACATCACTGGCAATGCTTCGGTAGCACTGAACATCAACAAGGTTATAATTACCTGTGGCCTCGTGCCAGCTGTATTCCAAACAAATGCACTTTTGCTCGTGTTATTGCTTATTAATACCTGCTTACTTGTCGAATTTTTCTTGTGTATAGAAACTGCACCAGCGTCTTATCGAGTTTATGTAGTACACAGCTCTGTTAATATTATTATTAATGCCCCTCAGATGCATCATTATGATCTGATTCTTCCTAGACTGCGGGATTCGGTTTTTCGTTATTGGTAACATGCATAATTGATCAACAGGGCCCAGTCGCCTCATTGCGCACGTCTGTTTATCGGCAGGATAGGATCCTTCTTCACACTGCACCAGAACCACATTTCACATCACACGGACCGGACAGAGACCTGCTGTCTTAATGATCCCAGCCAAACGCGCTCGTCTCGCGCCTCGTAGTCTGACACATACAGCACCATCAGCGTTTCTCTCCATGGATGGATTAGTACACAAACCCCAACACTGATGCGCCGGATTGAAAACCCTCAAATACGGGCACGCTCCCGTGGAGGGCTGCGTAAACAGCAGTTTACATATGCACGCTGTCAAACGCAGCCTAATGCAATATTTATGGGATTCACTTACTTTGCTCTTCACCTCCACCACACTCTCCTCGTTTTTCAGCGGCGTCCTGTGATGCCGTGACATGTTTGCGATATATGTATATTCCCACGGGCAGTATCGCACGAGAGTGCCCCTAGATACAGGAGTCAGCAGCCAGAGATAGTTCTCAAACTACATGCTCACTGAAAACGCCATTCATTTGCGACAGGATCCCATCAAGAGCTAGAAAAGTAGAAAAGAAAAGCAGCCAGAGATCGTGTGCGCAGCATGAGTGAACTGACAGTCGAGATCCGCAGTACTGTTTCACAGGCACGGACTGATTTGTCCAGGCGGTGGGCGGGGCCAGTGGCTTTCAATAACACTGACGTCAGGCGGAAGGCCGCTAGAAGGCGTGGTCGTGCGTAGTATCACATGTAAGCCTAATGTTCCTTTGACCTCTCAGGGTGGGATATAAGAATTCCTTATGACTCAATGACCTCATTGAGGTAAAAGATATTAATAACGATATAAAAATGACATCATGACTATTAACAGAAATGTTAGCAAAATTTCCACTCAACAGAAAAGATCCACAGGAAATATCAGGATTGTTATGTGATGGCTGCTGTCCAAACTCATGATGTCTTTATCCCTGCAGGGGTTGCTGTGAAAACTTGATCTTTTAGGGGACAATGGGGCTAGTTGTCGCACTTTTTAGGTTTATACTTATACATTTACATATACATATATATTATAGTTGTCGCACAGGGTAGATTTTTGAAAGTCAATTTCTATAACAGTCTTGTTTAGGAATATAAATATTGAACACATGTTGACCCTTTTGCAGCAACATGATTCAGTTTTGGGGAATGTTGTCCTACTATATGAGGTAAAGTTTTCACAATGGAACCTGCCTTTTAACAGCATTTAGTATACTTTAAATATAGTAAAATAATTCAGAAATACAAAACAAACAGGAAAATGTAAAATGTTACCTTGTGACAGCATCTTTCTGTGACAACTAGCCCCGGTCTCCTCCGGAAGTGGGATGGGAAAATGGGACTATCAACTGTTTGATTACCTGCATTCTTCAAACTATCTTTTGTGTTCGGCAGAAGAAAGAAATTCATACAGTTTTGGAACAGCTTGATGACAGAATTAAAGTCATCCTGTGGTCCCATTGGAAGTTTGCTGAGGCCCCCTAGTGGGTCTTGGTCTCGTGGTTGCTTTAAAGTGTCTGCCTTTTCTCTTAGTGAATGATTTAATACCAGAGCTGCTATAATTAGTACATGTCCTCATATGATTAGAAAATGTTTAGAAAATATTAGAAACAAGAAAACTTAAAATGCATAAGCATTTCAGTGTACTGCTAACAAGTTCTACATTAACATTAATAGAGAAACTGTTAACATATGCCCATCTGTGGACAAAACATTTGCTCACTAGATCTCCCCCCCCCCCCCCCCCCCC